TTTGAGAACACCGGTGAGACGATAATGGCCGTCCAGGTGGTATAATAGGGGATGATAAAATTCAAATTGGGTTTATTCGGATATTCTTTGTGGAGCCGATCGAAGAGGTAATTATTCGAAGCTTGGCCAATTAATTTGGTGGAAGAGATATTGGTTTAAAATATTTTATTGTGTACTGTAATTCATGCGCAAATGATAAGGGGTTAATGAATATTTCGTGAGCTTATCGGGGAATTATTTGGACAAACGTGTGGTTGTATGAATTCAGAGAATTAATTTTTTTTTTTTCGTAATGTTGCGAGAATTATATTTAATTGCTTGTATGTTAGTAATTAGATATTATTTGAGTGATTTATATGCTTGCATCCTTAACCAGTTATATAAAATTTAAAAGAGTATTGATTACAATGTCATGAATTTTGCAACTTGATTATCCACGTTTAATATACCAATTTTTTTAATTTATCTCCTTTACCAAGTATTTGTACAATTTTTATTTTTACTAATGTAATAAAGTGAAATGATAGAATTATAAAAATATTTTATGTGTCATATTCATATAAAATGCTTCTGAAAGAAACTTTCCACTTCAAATGATATAATTGTAGAAGTCATTAATTGAAAAGAAATTACATCTTTATATTTCGACCTATTTTTATCAATACCTTTAACAAAATGAATATGATTCGATACATATTAACACAATAATAAATAATATATAACAATAAATATTATTGCATGTTAAAAGCCTAATGTAATAAAATATCCTAATATTGTTTATATGTCATATTCATAACAAAATGTTTCTAAAGAAATTTTCCAATTCAAATGATACGATCGTAGGAATCATTAATTGAAAAGAAATTACATCTTTATATTTCGACCTATTTTTCTCAATACTTTTAACAAAATAAATATGATTCGATATATATGAACACGATAATAAATAATATAATAGGAAATATTATTACATCATGAAAATCTAATATAATAAAATATCCTAATATTGTTTATATGTCATATTCATAACAAAATGCTTCTAAAAGGAACTTTCCACATCAAATAATATGATCGCAGAAGTCATTAATTGAAAAGAAATTACATCTTTATATTTCGACCTATTTTTCTCAGTACTTTCAACAAAATGAATATGATTCGATATATATTAACACAATAATAAATAATATAACAGGAAATATTATTACATCATGAAAATCTAATATTATATAATAAAATATCCTAATATTGCCCAAGTTTTTAAATCCAATCATTCTTCCTGAGCACTGTCTAAATAAAAATGTAATATTGCTGCAATTCTAATTCCTCCCCCACACATCTGCAACAAAAGTAATTCTCTAAAATCAGCGACTAAAAGACAAATTACGATCTCAAATACACTCAATCTTCTCTTTCCTAAAATTCCTGCCCAATAAAAGGTTCCTCAAAATTTCCATCCACAGGTAAGCTCTGACTCGCCTCATACAAATTTATTTTCAATTCATCAATCCATTTAATATCGTCTAAAAAATTGACATTATCAAAACGTGGTTACACTCTGGCCAATGAAAAATTACTGAAAATTTCCATCCACAAGTAAGCTGTGACTCGTCTAATACAAATTTACTTTCGGTTTATCAACAATTCACTTAATATCGAACACAGAACCATGGCAGGACGCGAAACGTTTTATCAATAACTAATACCCACCGTCGTTTCCAGCCGGACTAAACAATTTATACTGGTTTCCATGCGCGGTATTAATTATTTCAATATGGTTGGAACATATTGGAACAAAACGAGCGAACGTGCTGTCCAGTTATCACGAATTTCCACTACCGACTTCCACGCCATCGTCGGTTGTTCCCTTCGCCCTCTTCGCCCCTTTATTTCCATTTTTCCCTTCCTTCTCCTATTTTTCTTCCTTTTTCTCCCTTTTTTTTAATAAACCACAGAAACAAAGGGTTCCGTTCGAATAATCTGTGCCACGCTCTACACTCGTTGCTCGGTGGCTAAGAAATTAAGAGATAAAATATAACAGCCTGGGCTGGAGAATGAATGGCAAGGCGGGTGGAACACGGGGCAAAATAGTCTCTGAAGAAACGATTACGCGGCTCTTTCTCCGCGTCTCGTGGCCAGAAAGAGGGATGGATAATGGCGGCCTAGCTAGAAACCGCGGGAGAAAAATAAGAGGAGTCCTATACCCCGACTGCTTTTAGATTCACCGACGTACCCTCGCTATCGATCGCCAACCTATGCTATGGTTCGGATGTCTTTGCTGCAACGCGATCGATATTTATGCAGAATACAGATTAACCTTTCGGAAGATCCTTCGAGCTTTCGCTGCAGCCAAGGTCGAACGGTTGGTCCTCATGGGAGACTTGGGAGATGAGGTTTTGACACTGGAGCAGGATAAATCGGAGGTGAGTGAGTGGTTAAGGTAATTATGAAAATGGTCTAATCGTGCTCTTATTACTTATTTTTGGTTGCATTTATTTGGGTTAGTACGAAACGAAACCGTTTCTACCAGGATAGCAGAAAATTCAAGTGTTAGACTGGTTGCGAGAGTGCAGCTTTATCTTAATTGCTGTTTTAATGTATAATGTGCTCGAAGAACGAAGCTTTTAATATTTTAGAAGGAAGCGTGTATGATTTGGGTTACTCTCGTATTCACTGGCACATGAATTTTGAAAGGAATCGACCGAGGAAATGTTGTTCGGTTCTTTTTATTTATTGCTTGGGACAAGTTGTGTAACGGATATACTTGGAATTTTTAAACGTGCAGCTTCGGAATTGACAAAATTTTAATAATCTTTTTAAATTGTAAAATTGGCGGTGTCGAGTATACGCGGTAATATAACTTTAAAGGTCGAGATGGTTTGCGTTAGGTTTGATATTGAGAGAAGCAATCAAGAAGAGAGACTCTTGATTGCATTTTGTATTTGTTATTTTTCAGAAGATTCTGGGAGAAATGTGACTACAGCTGGTTGAATTTTCAGTGGCAATTCTTTGATACACGTGTGTGATGGTTGGCTGAAAGTGTTTTGTTTAAAGTCTGAGAAGGTTGGACTAGAGTGTTTCTCTTTGGAAATGATATGGTAGAATGGGATACGTGAGAAGTGTCTGGAGGTAAAGTATGTTGCATTTTTAAGAGAAGTGGTATGAATTTGATGGTTCTGTTTGTTACTGTAAAATGATGAGTACCTTCCACATTTTCAAATTTGTAAAATTAATTATTACTGTGAGAATTATTACTATAATTTATATTAATACATGATATTTATATTATATATTTATAGTATATTTATAATAAAACAATATTGCATTATTTATTTTAATAGTATTCATAATAATATCAATCAGAATATTTTTTAGAATGTATTTCCTTTTTCGAAGACACTATTTCAATTTTATTTTTAATATAATTAATAGAATAGATATACTAATAATTGAATGAGATAAAATTAATAATATTAAAACGAAATAAAATGAAATGGCAATAATAAAGTAATTAAAATTGAAAGAAGAATTGGTATAGCATGGGATGAATAAATAAAGTAAAAATAAATAAAGTAAAAGAGCTGTAAATAGTTCCTGCAGTAAATAGTAACCTTAAAATCGAGGGCTTTTTGCAGAGAGCAATGTGAAAAGCAACAATAAGCCGCAGAATGTGTACCGTTTTTAGACGCAATCGTCTGCTATTCACCCAATGCCTGTGAATTCTGAAGCAGCAAAGTTTTGAACTATTTGGAGCAGGCAGAGTGTATTCGGTCGTACAGTTTACAAGATAAGGAACCACAGATACGTGTTAGTGGAAACTCGCGTGTCGAAGGGTAGCTATTATACGATAAATTTTGCTGCAACTTTAATATACTTCGTTTGGCAACAAAGTAAAAATATGTAACAAAATTTTGCATATAGTATAATGTTATGGAAATTATTTGCTTGTAAGATATAATACTACGTTTTTCTTTATCGATTAATTAATCATACTTTTAAAAACATATTAACAGTCACATAAAGAATTATTAATGTTATTAATTTTGTTCACTTGAAATAATTTTACTAAATATTTTTAAGAAATTGAAAAGTTAATAGTAAGCATTCCCAAAACAATTTTAGATTGTTAAATATGTTTTGAATGTAAGAGTAAGGGAAATTTTCATATTAACTTAACTTCTTAATAAAAATCTTTTTATACCAGTGTGCAATATTATAGGATATTCCAGAAAGCTAATAAGTAATACCAAGATACATCTGAAAGAAATACTACTAAAATATATATTGTCGCAAAAACAATAATCAGAGTTATTTTAAATTTGAGATATTTTTTGAAGCTAAATTTCTCCAGATCTGTTATTCGTGTAGCAGCCATTGAGAAAGAAACGAGGCGCTTAAGACGCCATCTTGAAACCAGGATATTTCAAGACCTAACATTTGCAAAAAATAGCTGCTACTACTTTTAATAAGTGTGATTTATAATGTTTAGTGATTGTCTAATACGATTTCTTTCACAAGCAGTATTATTTTATGCAATATGATTCTCTCATTTATTAACTTAAAGGTTATGTCACTTAGGGACCAAGAGAATAATTCCGTAATAAAGCACATAATTCCACACCGACATCAGGCGACATTAGGTGAAAGAAAATAGAAATATCGCGAGAACATGCAAGCTATACTTATTCAGAGAACGCCATGTGTGTCAAATAAAAACAAGATCGTGGGAATGAGTGATTGAGTGTCCAGATGGCAGCACTGCGCTCAAGTCCCCAGGCAGTGAGAGTATCGCATTATAATTCCGCTTACTTGACCCAAAATCGACCTAACCAAAACTCTCTCTGTCTCCAGAAGCTTCTAATTCCCTGCCCGTGCAAGCTCCTGCCTAATAAGACACCCCAGTTAACAGATTAAGAACACGGAACTCGACCCATTTACACGAATCACCCTGTACCATCGCAGGCAGCCATCACTCGTTAACTTACTTGCTGTGACGACTGTACCTTCCACTGGAACTCGGACGAGGGATCAGTGAAGAACCACTTCTGCGACCAAGGCTTTATCGTGCCCTCTGGCGTCTTGAAGATCAACCCTTGCAGACTCAGGCCGTGCGCCAGCACGCTGGTGGTGATGTTGCCCTTCTTGTACGACGTTATACCCGCCTTCATGTACATCTGCGGCATCGTCTCGTTCTCCATCAGCTTCAGGGTCACCCGTGGCTTTGTTTTCCTCGTTGCAGCATTCGACGTCTTCGCATCCTCGCTGGGGGTACTGGCTAACGTGTTCCAGCTGGTCGATGACGTTGATGGCAAAGTCGACGGGATCCTGGTGGACGTGGACGTTTGTCGAAGGGTCGTTAATAATTCCGTAGTGGTCTGTTGACGTTGCGTGCTACTCGATGGGGTATCTGCGAACAGAGAAGAAGAGAGGGTTAGGTGTGGGTTAGGCAGATTAATGAAGATGTACGTTTTGTGTATGTATCACGGTTGGTTTATTGCAGTATGACTCTACACCGAGCTCGGGAATTTGGTCGTGCAAGGAATGTAGGTCTGACTGGCTGGAGTGTAATAACTCCGTCATTTCTGACACAATCATATGGATAGGTTACACGAATTTTCGTTGTTCACTGGACGTGTCGTATTTGCAAATTGGATATTGGATAAAGAGTAAGGAAAAACATTGATAAAAATATACTGTATGGAACTGAAAAGAAGACACTTGCCTGAGGGATCATAGTGTAATTGGTTTATCTTTTCAAAACAATCGAGACTATAGGTTTTTCGAATTTTTTATGCTGATTGGAAGAGACACATCTACAAATTGGATATTCAATAAAGAGTAAGGAAACACATTCATAAAAATATACTGTGTTGAACTGAAAAGAAGACACTTGCTAGAATTGTAGGCATGATTGATCATAGTGTAATTGGTTTATGTTTCTTAAGCAATCAAGACTATGGAATTCACGAATTCTTTATGCTGGTTGGAAGAGACACATCTACAAATTGGATATTAGATAAAGAGTAAGGAGAAACATTAATAAAAATATACTGTGTAGAAGTAAAAAGAAGTCACTTCCTAGGATCGTAGATCTAAGTGATCATAATGTGAATGGTTTATTTTTCTTAAGAAATGAAGACTATAGGATTCACGAATTCTTTATGCTAGTTGGAAGAGGCACATCTACAAACTGGATATTCAATAAAGAGTAAAGAAACAGATTCATAAAAATATACTGCGTTGAACTGAAAAGAATACACTTGCTAGAATCGTAGGTCTAAGTGATCATAATGTGAAAGGTTTATTTTTCTTAAGAAATGAAGACTATAAGATTCATGAATTCTTTATGCTGTTTGAGAGAGACAAATCTACAAGTTGGATATTGGATATGGAGTGTTTCATAGTATTGGTCTAGACATACTGTGCAAAGTGTGGGTTTGATTGGCCATAGCCTAATAGGTCCACCTTCTCTAAACAATCGTAAAAATAGGTCACGCGAGGTTTCTCTGTCGACTGGGAGTGTAACATCTACAAATAGAACTGTATCGCATGGTGTAGCAAGGAAGGTAAACAAGACACATCAGGACCAAATGGGATAGAGTGAGAAAGCATTGGCGTAGACATAAAATCAGTGTTAACTGTTCGAAACGACATAAGGGTAGTATTTTTCTAACTCCTGCTACCATTTCGCAAGTATAGATTTCGAGAGTATCAAAGGTAAAATCACGTGATGTGAACAGAGTCTTGCCTCTGAGTCGCTCAAATGCAAACTTGTAAGCGATAGTTGTTGTTTTAAATTTTAATAAAATATGTTAATTAATTACGTTAATTGTTGTTGTATTTCTAGAAAATGGACAGCGAGGAACCAAAATTCAGATTACAGAGGATTAATCTATTTTGGAAAATTATGCTGTTCTATATCAGTTAAGCCGAAAAACGGATTCTATAATGGAACCATACGTTATTAATTCCTTCGTCGTGTTCGATATTGAAATACCAGAAATTTTGGTTCTGTATTTAGACCCTCACTGGTAGTTACTTTTAGCCAAAGTGACATATGTGTTGTATTTATAAAATGATTGGAAATGGACAATTTTAAAAGACTCAATTAAATACCACTAAATTGTTTGGTTCGTGCGTTTTGTTCGCTATGTAACACGTATTTTGAAAAATACAATCCTTTAATAACTCCATACTGAAAATTCCGCATACAGAGCGAGAGAAGGTAGAAAATACAGTTATACACGTAGATCGAATGTAGATATGAACATTCTTTACAGTCATAAAAAGGTTCTTTATGCTCCCTGTGATATTTATGTGTTCCTCGGTTTTACATATTTTCTAGAATTTTTGTGAAGAAATTTTTGTTCTCTGTAACCGTATATCACTTTAATATACGAATTTATAACATTTAGATTTATTGCATAAATACACAAATTTATGACATTTAAATTTGGTACCTAAATATATAAATCACGATATTTAATTTTGACAGACAAATGTATTAATTGACAATATTTAAATTTATAATATTTTAATTTAATATATGCACGAATTTTTAATATATTTAATTTATAAATATTTATTTATTGCACACAGAGTTTTTTATTTTAATTTATAAAGTAATTCATTTTGGCCACGTCGAAAGTAAATATGGTGGTTAATTAAATTGCTGGTTTGGGGATTTTCATTTCCCAAATGACTGTATTATTAATCAGGTCTACCTGGTTCAATCGAAATTCATATTTCGAATTAATGATCGAAATGCCTAAGAAATTGGAACAGCTTTGCGTATTTGCAAAAATTTGTAAAAAGATTAAAAATTTTTAGAATCTCGTAACACAGGGGAGAGGGCTCAGGGTTATTAAGCTTTCAAACGGAGATTTTTCATTTTCCAAACGATTGCGCAGATAAGTGAGATATTTAAACGATCGATAAGTCGTTTTCCACGAATTTAATTATTCGAGAAACAGCCATTGCCTATGCCTCATTTAATTTGAAGCACATACTGTACGCGATTATTCATTGACAAGTTTTATATCGTATTGAAGCGAAACCTGAGAGCGATAACAAATTTAATTTCTGAAATTCATGGCACAAAGAGAATTCCATAACATCGATACTTGAAATTTAAATTAATTAATTTCAAATAATAAATAATAATTCAATGTAAAGAGTCATTAAATATATATGAATTAAATTTAAAGACTGAATAATATTTGAAATAATTGTTAAAATAATAATTAAATCAAAATAATAATATTAATAAAAATGTATATATCTTTATAATTATATTTCTTCCTCAATTTCTCTCATTCCTAATTTCTCTTTTATAATTGCATTTCTTTCTCATTTTAAATTCATAAAAATTTTTTTCGATATGTATTTTCCTACTTTGTAGATTTTGAAAAGCAGAAGCGAGAAAAAAATAATGACGTCGCGAATGCTAATGTAATTAGAAAAATGTAATTATTATAATTCATATACATCGTAATTAAATAGATGAGTAAAAATTTAAACTTTATTTTTTAGCCTTCGTGCATTTACATTTTTTTAAAGAACAGATTTAATTCGATTTTTCATAAAATCTAAATTTTTCACATTCCATGAAACTCATAAAATTTGTGCAAGATAACAATTTAAAATGTACATCGAATAATTCGTGTAATTCGTATATTTATAAAACGACGACATATTTTTATAAAATTAAAAATTCCATTCGAGTTTCGAAATGTGTGATAAAAAGAAAAATAGGAGAGAAGAATTATTTTTTACACAAATTTTTTACACAAAAAGCCTTCCATTGCCAAAGGACTCTCCAATTAACTGGAATATCCGAATCGACAATAAATTCTTTCCCCAAAAATTTAACGTTCGAACAACTGTTGCTACTTTCGACGAAATGTTTCAAATGCAACGAGGAAATAACGACACGAAAACGAACTCTGGCATTTCGAAACTCACAGGAAACAGAAAAAAGGCAGACAATTCGTAGGATTTGTTCACATGGGTCATTCGTTTCGAGAATAACTATTTCATTAATTGATCTATTTAGACCATCAGATTTTTATTTGCCTATACACTGAAAAAGATCGCTTTTGCTTTTTTCCCTATAATTATATATTAATTTAGTATTCTGTAACCAATTAATAGGGAGAAATAATGAATTTATGAGGACAATGATTGTTTGCAAAAATGGCACGTGCTCTGCAATTAATGGACCATTTATGTATTTCAAACGAGTCTTCAATGTACTAATGGTACGTGATTCTGATGTTTAACTGAATGAAACCTTATTTTCCAGATGCAAATAGCCAATTACCACGCAATCTTTAAAGCACTCACTTTTTCTTTTATTCTTTTTTAATTCATATACACGTGTAGGTTAATTATCTCGTGTAGGTTGTTCCATAAATTGCGTGGATATCAAAAGCATGTTCCTTGTGATTTGTTGAAAAGCAATTTTAAAGGTTGAGTTATTGTTAATTATTATTATATTGAAAAATCAAGTATGTATTCATCTCAATTTTTTATCCATGAATATTTAGAAAATATTTATTGTAATAATTTTATTCTGAAAGAATAAGGCATTTTTTTTAATTTTTAATAAGATTTTATGAATTTATTGCATCTTCTTAAAAGAGTTTTGTGGATTTGGAGTTTATATTGTTTCTTTTTTTAGTTATGTCGTGTGCAATGATTTTGTTGAATGTTTGTTGATATGGAGACTAGAAAATCGACTGAAATAAACATATCACGTTTTTCCTGTGGTTTTTGCATGGTTACTAAAAATGTTATTAATTAACAACAAATCCCAGTAAAGTTGTTAATCAATGAGGGTCTGAATAATAACACTGAAGTCTTTAAGACGAAGTAAAAATTCTAATTTTCAGAATAATAATTTGTGTAATAGCTTTATAATCCTCTTATCAGAGCACAACAGACTGTTCTCCCAGTCTTTACATATTAAAAGGACATTGATTAATGAAACACCAACAATCTAGATCCAACTGAAAATTAGAAAATTCAGAATAAAATTAGAAATAAGAATTGTTTTTAAAAAGAACTATTAAAACAAAGCAAAATTTAAATAAATTTGTAGTTTTCAGAGTAAGGGCTGTTATAACAGCTTTGTAATTAAATTAGCTTCACTAAAAGTCTGTTCTTGTCACATGTAGTAGTAATAACTCGTTATGTTAAAAATAGGTTCTGACTAAATAGTAAAGTTCATGAAATCCAAAAAGAAGAAGAATATCAAAGAATGAAAATAAATAAAAGCATATAATCATGCTTGTATGTCAGTAATTCTGTTAGATATGTATATATTTTTAATTAAATATATTTATTTAACCCAGATACACCGGTTAGAAGGTAGAATTGTTGAAAAAGTTTCTTTGGTGTATATAT